TGAATAAGGAAAAACTGGAAGCATGCCTTCTAAGATTGAAACGAGACAAAGAAGTGGAATCTCACCATTCGTGTTTAGTCCTAACCTGGACATTCTTACCAGAAAAAATAAGAGAGGAGAAAGAAGCAAGATGTGCGCATCTACAGAGGACATGGGTATCTACGAGACGTGCGCATCTACAGAGGACGTGGGTATCTACGAGACGTGCCCATCTACAGAGGACGTGGGTATCTATGAGATGTGCCCATCTACAGAGGACGTAGGTATCTACGAGATGTGCCCATCTACAGAGTATCTACACGAGCCTGAAATTACAGGGAGGACCCCACATCCGACTCATGCCCCCATGTGCATACACACACACCCACACATGTAGGAACACACATATGCACAAGCATGCATACAATCCACACACATGCAAGAAAAAACTTCATGAAAAATCCAGAGATTTTTGCAACAATATAAGATACTTCTTATACGAAGAAGAAATATAAATGTCCAAACAATATATTTTAATGTTCAACATGATTAGCCGTAAAGGAACTACAAATCAAAGTATCACTTGTCATGATGTTGCCCCCATAAAGATGGTTGTTATCAAAAAACTTTATAAGCACCGGCAAGGATGAAAATAGGGAGGAATTGACCTGCTGTTGGTTTGAGTGCAGACCGAGCCAGCCTTTGGGGAGAACAGAACGGAGTCTCCTCACACAGCTGAAAGTGGTTCTACCATCTGATCCAGTTGCCTCACTGCTCGGTATTTAACCCAAAGAAACGAAATCAGCTTACCAAGTATACCTGCACCTCCGTGTTTGCCATGGTACTGTTGACAAGAGCCCAGACATGGAACCACTCGGGTGCCCATCAGCAGGTGCATGGGGGAGGAAAATGTGGTACACACAGATGCTATGGAATATCTTCATCCATTACAAACAATGAAAATTTCCAGGGGCGAGGTGAACGGTGCTAGTCCTACAGCTCCTGTGACCTTGCCCTTATGAACATACAGCAATGGTGTCAGCATGCACAAGACCCACGCAAGCTCAAGCAGACAAAACCCCAGCCCAGATCTGTGGAAACGGGCAGCAGGCCCCAGTCATAGTAGATGAACTATTGGCAGCTGATTACTGCTGGGTGAGGAAGCGCTGACCTTCTTAAAGTAAGGAACTCTAGATAGGCTGACTAGACCTCGGTGGATGAACTTGCACTGATGGACGTCTGGGGATACTAACTAATTTGATAGACCTTAACACAATTGACAGAATGCATGAATTCATGTGGGTGGGTTATGGAGAGATGCTAGTGGGGTATAAAGATGATTAAGATGTTCTGTATGAAATACATGAGTTCAATAAAAATTTTAATTAAAAAAAAGAAGGAAAATCTTTCACCTGCCAAAGAATGGATGGGAATGAAAGACATTTTGTTAATTGGGCTAACCCAGACTCACAGACAAGGGCTAACCCAGACTCACAGACAAGGGCTAACCCAGACTCACAGATAAGGGCTAACCCAGACTCACAGACAAGGGATAACTCAGACTCACAGACAAGGGAAAACCCAGACCCAGACTCATGGACAAGGAATGCCTGCTCTTTCTCAAATGTAATAGCAAAAACCGTTGGTCTCAAAATAGAAGACAGTAGAAAATCAGAACTGGAGTCTGAGACCGTGAGATAGAGGAGAGCAAGCTGCATACAGGTAGCTGTTGGATAGGCTTGACCTCACACACCCCCACCCAATCCATCAGCTTCAATTGTATGAGGGGGTGGGTCTAAGGACAGACTCTGGGGAAGCTGGGAAGCTAGGGGAAGCCGCCATCATGGCGGGGCGCTGGCAGGGTGCTGGCAGCAGATCTCACAAAGCTCAGCCAGGATGAAGGGGAAAGAGCCCACAGGCATCCATGCCTGTGTAAGTGACACCTCCTGGATAGC